ACATACACCTTAGTTACCTAATACAACAGTAACATATTCAGTAGGTCCACAAGTAGAGTTTGAGGAGAGTAAAATGTGCGCAAATCTTACCGCTATCTTGTAAAGTAGAGAGATTGTTTTTGAATGACCTCAGATTAAAGAAAACAAAAACAGCAATACAGTAAGAAAGTAGAGGCTCTAAGCCAAACCTGCAAAGCAAAAATACCAAAATTAATGGTCGTATATGCATACGCTACTAACTATTAAAATCTTTAAAGTGTTCGAGTTTTTTCTTATGTTTTCCTTTTTGTCAAGTCTCAATGCTTTATCTTTTTTCTGCACTAAAAACTACAATATACACTTTATACACATTTTACAATCCTCCAAAATTATCAGATCCTGGAAGAGGTTGAACAACAACATATATGCTTTAAGTTAGTCATAAAATTTATTTTCTGAGGAAGGAATCTCACTCAACTCTATGTTAGCAGATCCAATAAATCTTCCAACTCAAAAAGTTTTAGCAACTATTTTTTTATACTTGTATAAATATCAAATTGATTATCCATGAAACACTCAAATAAGAACTCAATTTACTGTAAAAAAATCAGCTTAGCCTGCCTCTTATGATGACAGGGGCATCACAATTCAACCTCAAAGAATCTAATTCAGTTAAATTTCGTGAAATTTTTTATTTCAACTACATTTTCATATAATATTGTCCAAAAGTAAACTATATGATCAAGGAGTAACTATATCTTACTGATGAAAAATGTTGACATAAAAATGATTTTTAAAAAATATTTTGGTCTCCATCCATCAGTAGGCACTTCAAAGCTTATATGGTATACCTTTTCTATTTACTATATAAGAAGAATAAAACTACATCATTAAAAAGAAACAATTAGTAGAAAGTTTTCGGGTTAAAAAAAGGTGAAATATACTAAGTTGGTAGAGCCCATTGAAGCACAGTCGTTGTTCCTTACCTAAATAATGACAAATAGGTAGTTGATAAATCTGAAATATTTTTCTAAAATTATTTTGTGTATTGATTTTACTATTGTCTTGATCTATAAATATATACTAATGACTTTATGCAATAAATTCTTAATAGTTTTGTTATCAGTTTTGTTATCCCTAAATGTGGCCGTTTTCTTCCGAATACTCTAAGCTCTAAATAATTTTCGTTATAAACTTATTTTGCTATTTGGTTATTATATTTTAAAGTAGTATATAATTTATAATGATTCTATAAATAGTTGTTAACTTGTTATAACATGCTAGCTAAAATAATGTATGACAAATAGGCAAACAAAATCATTGAAAGTAAATACTAACCCAGCCTGAGAACATTGTCCATCATATGCACCACTCGATATGATTATTTGAAGAATGTTTGATGTGTATGGATAGCCCATGCTTAGAGTGTGTGTAAATAATATGTAATCACTGTTTCCAATAGAACAACCAAAGTAGCATTGATATTCTCTCTTCTTAATAATTTACACACTCTTTAAAATGTGCACCCCCAAGCATATCTGCATACATATATCACACAAACAAATTACATAAACAAAGTACTACTAAGGAAAGTTTCTTTAAATAAAAAATCTCTTATACATTCTTTGTGGCAGGAAAAAGACTTTCGAAAATTAAAAAACGGCGTCTAAGGATTTGCTCTTCATCTTTCTCATCACAATTTTCATAAATCTCGTCGCCTTTAATCCAAATCCAATTGTTTCTTATTTTCAGTTAAATCATCAAAATTAGAATAAACTGTTTGTTGCTGATTAGTAATAGATAAAAGCCATAAAAAACACAATTAAGCTTAAAGCTAACCAAAATAATCGACAGAATATAAGTGTGTTACTGACGTTGAAAGTTTTGCTGACACAACCTTCGAGTTGTTCACAATGTCATTCGATGTTATAAAATTGACCTAGAAAATATATATATATTCATTCCTGTAAGTACCAAAAAATGTTATAATTATACAAATTGAAATAGAAAAATGCAATATTGAAGCGGTATGAATAGAAAAACACAAGTTCCGAGTAAGCGGCTTATAAAGTTTTCTTTTTTATCTGGACCATTGGCTTATATATTCGGCTTACCGTTATCTTGTTATTAATGAATTGAAGCTAGAACTCATAATGAGGACATGCTCCATATGCTTCAACTTCTCTATAATCTTAGAAAATCATCTTCTAATATTCTAACCATAATCTGCATCATGTCTTTCAGAAGTCCTCTTCATTGAATTTCAAATTAATTCTCTGTGTGTTCTGCATCATACTTGTTCATCTACTTGACCATCAATTACTTCACCTATATATCTCCTAGCACTAATAGCAGTAGCACAAATATCCATTTGAGAATGTGCACAAATGCATGTTGTTGGGTTTTCATGGAACTCTCTTTTGCCTGCCTTTACGTCTACTCCCATTGTTCAACATTGATTTCTCCTCCATAGTTCCTCTCCATTAATCTCCATTTCTCCTCAAATTTCTCTTCAATGTTGCTGTCCAGGTAATACAAATTAGAGGGTTTATTTCAAAGTAAAATGATTTGGGCAGAATTCTTGAAAAGTCGACATAGTGGTCAGAAATTAGAGAGAAGAAGAGGTGTAGAATACAACTCAGGTAACAACCTTTTTGAGCTTAAATTTGAACAAATTATTGTTTTGTTCTTGCATACAACATCAGATTTGATTCTTGTAGCCATGAGACAATTTTGGTGTGTTTTGTTTCTCGTCTTCAAATTTGAATGCTTGGCATAAGTCTCAGCCCAAGAAAACTTTATAGGAAACCCTATTTAGAAGAGGGAGTTGAAGGACTAAAACAACTTTAAAAAGTTGTTCATCTCTTCCGTTCTTTCTACTGACAACTCCCTGTTTTACCATAGAAAAAATTGTTAACGATGGAATTAATCAATGTGCACAGTATTTTGTGACAAATCAGAATGTGCATGTCCAGGATGAATCCAAAAGGGGGATTTCTAGGAAACACAAGATAAAAATACAAATATATAGGAAATCATGAAAGAAAGCTCAAATTGAAATGCTTACCGGTGAACATATGAAAAATAACAGAGCTTCATAGTAAATGAACAAAGGTTGTTGATCTTCTAAACTTCCTTGTCTTCAAATAATTCTTTTGGATCATTTAGTCGATTTTGACTGGAAAAATCTCTGCTATTTCAATTCTAATATTGGTGTTAAGTGTTCTCCTTTTTACTTTTTGACAGAGCACTCTTCTTACACCAAAATTTAGAAATGCTCAGTAAATATTTCTAATCTTCCTTCCATCTTTTTTTTTGTCTAATTGTGTTTGCTGTTTTCTCTAATTCATTCATTAGAGCATATTTATGGGAATCTAATAATATTTTTGGGTGTTCCGATTTTTCTACATTATGGTTTGCAATTTTCTTTCAAGGGTGAAGTTTTGCCTTTCTTTGCACATAACATATTTGATGAAAGTTATGTTCAAATTGTTAGATTAATGATCCATTGATTCATAGTATATATGTAGTTCACTTCTATATAACATCACAAAATAATGGATTACAATTATCGATGAAAGGAAAATGACCTCTTGACTACGATTGAACATGAAATCAAAGTAACACTAACAATACTGAAACTTCAAGCAGCTATACCTATGTTGGTATGGACACATACCTTTCTTCAAATAAAAATATAGTTGTTGCTTTTTGGGTGAATTTGTGACTTCAAGTTGTTGCTAATAGTTTCCTTGATGAACAATTTCAGCACTTTGAACATTCTTCAGCTACAATTTGTTGAGACCAATTGTGAAACAACTTTGGTAGAACAACTTCTGTTTGGCATGTTTATTCTTACCCCTGTCTTTGATGAGAATTAATTGTTGCCTTTGATGAGGTTGACTACTATGGTTTGTTACTTCATTTTGAGGTTGAATCATTGTTGCGTTTTGATCTTTTTCTGCTGCATTTTTTGATGTATTTTAAACCATGGGTTGCTGATTTTGTATCGTATTGCTGCTGAATTTTAGACTAAGCTATTTGTTACACTTCTGATCAAATTTCAGTCTATTGTTGCTATGTGTCGAGCTAAATTTTGCTACACTTTTGGCTATATTTGAGCCAATGGTTTGGCTATGTATTTTGCTAAACTTTGCTGCACTTTTAAGTTAGACAACTGCTGCATTTTTGTCAAAAATATTGCTGCTACAAATGTTGCACTTTGGGCAGAAGTTGAGGCTTAAGGATTGCTGCATTTTTGCTAAACTATTGCTACATTTTTTAGCTGATTGGGGTTCATTATTGCTCTGCTTTTTATGCTGGTATTATCACGTTGGTTTCTAGAGATGCACTTGCGGTTATAGCAAGTGAAAAACTTTATAGAACAACTTACTTTTTTTCTTGAACAACTTGCTTTTTTTCTTAAATTATCAAATTTTGCAGATGATTAATACTATGATAGTTTACGAGAGACAACTAAAACATCAAGTTTAGGAGTCTTTAACAATTCAACATTTTATTTATCTATTTACCTTTGTGTTACTGATAGTGATGATGTCACTTGCGTGATAGAGAGGTCCATTTTAGAATGTGCCAACTATGAGAAGAGGTGGTACAATATCAAATGTCTCAAAAGTCAATGCTCACATTCCAACCCAAAAAATGTCAAATTATTGATACTTCCACCTAGAATAAAACTTGCAATTGATAATTCTACATATAAAAACGTGTATGAGGAGATCGGTTGCAACACATTCACATAAAATCCCATTTTCTCTATCCTTCATAAGAAAGATCTATAACACCCCATTGTTAGAACTGAAATATGCATATTTGAAGGAATGAAATTACATTCTTTAATAGGAGAAGTCTTTCAATTTTAGATAATGTCTTGCTTCTTTTTCGTTCTTCGTGGTGAACAAAAAATATTACGACAGAAGGATATAAGATGGTTTTGCAGAAGTACGCTTACATCCACAACAAGATAAAATACATTAACAAAAGTTGATATATTGTCAAATACTCAATGAACTGTAATTATTGAGAAATATCAGCTTCCATGTCTCCTACATCAAAACATTAATTCTGAAAGCATCTATTGTTTACAAAAGACATGAATTTTTGGAGTTTCAAAAATATCTCTCTTTTCTTTCTAAACAGATAGTCCGAAAGATGCAAACAGAGGCATGGTATCCCTGATTTTCTTCAAATTTTTATGACTTTCTTGTTTGTACAAACATTTTTAGCAAGCCTCTCACACTATATGAAATCAAGAGGTTCTAAATTTGTTTTGTATGACTGCAATGGAGGAGGCCAAAAAGTAGTGATCCTTTGATTAAAGCAAAACCGAAAGCATTGTAAATGAATGAAAGACACCTCAATGTTTCGTTCATGTTTTCGCTAACAGCATGGATAAATTTTAAATTTTAATAAATTTCAAATACTTGTAAGTTTTGAGCTGTTAATTATTGTGATTTATAGTTTGATTTTCAATAATAAATGTGATAATCAGATGTAGACTAACCTTTTACAGTTTTTTTGTTGGTGTGGGTGGTTCAAATTTCAGAGTTGCATTTGAAGAACCAGTTGCAGTAGTTGTTTCTGTCACCTCCATCTCACTTATCTCCAAAGGTCTTATCTTTTTGAAATTCCTATCAATAGTGGTTGGCGGAGTATGTTGCTTTTCCATGTAGGAAATAATGGAGTAAGTTTCTTGTGTGTTGTTTGAGGTACCCCAAGATGACTTCCTTAGCTGAATTTGAAATAGTTTGTTGGACAACATCTCATGGACATGATTAACATGCAATGATTGCCTCTGTAAATGTAAAGAGTGAGAAGAAAATCTTTGTGACAATAGATGTGTAGGCTGGAATAAGAGATCACCTTAGCACAAGTTATGTCAAATATGTCTTCCGCTGTCATGGAGAGTAGTTTTTCTCCCAATTCACCAGAGATAGATGTTGTGACTGTAGCAATACCGTCAATAAGATCAATTTGAAAGATACACCTGAAATCATGATAAGTAAGAAATTAGGGCAAATAAAACCCAACAAATTTTCCTCTTGGCCTGAATTTCTGACAAAATAAATTTGTCCATCTTCATTACTTAATCTTCAACAACTTGCTTCTTCACTCCATAATCTCCTTTGCAAAATTTATGTCTGAACACAAAGAGCCTCTCTGAAACAATTTCTCCAACAAAATATTCATTACTGTCAAAAAAGGTTGCGGCTAGAAATACACCCATCAAGATGAACACCTCTTTCTAACTGTGGTTCAATCATCGATTATCGAATCACTGAACCTGACTCCAAAAAGCACGGGCCCAACATTTTATATTTGGTGTATTAAACAAAATTACTATTGAATTAAATTATTTATACTAAAAATACCTCACTTATAAAAAAAAACTTTTTATTACTAAAAAAACATCGCCATTCAGCCTTTTTTGTCTCCAAAAATATGGCCGACGCAACAAAATTTGCTTCTTCTTGGTCCTCTCTTTTGCTTCTTTTGCCATAATAGAGTAAATAAAGTATCAGTGAAAGATCACCACATCATAAATCATACTTTATAGAAGTGTTTTTAGCTGAGAAGGCTACAACTCCAACCTTTAATTAAGGAGAGAAATATTTGTTTGAAAATAGAGCAGCTAAACTATGAACATTTTTGTCGAATACTGGAGAATGATTTTATATGTTATACAGACCTTTCATATATCAAAAATAAGATAACAATAAGGACTGATAAAATTGTATCCTCAAATCTTAGACATAACTAACTTGACAATTGAACTCAATCGGTTGTCTATTATATCCATGGTTATAATAGAAATTTATCAATATATAGGAAGAATAGGAATGTAGTTTGTGTTCGCTAAGTAACTCCATCCACCATAGACTATTTCTTTTTAGGTATAATACATATATTAGACCCTAAACTTAGCTTCACATTTTAACTTTGACCTCCATCTTTTATAATGCACAAACAGGCACTTTAACTATCCAACTTTTAAATAAGTAAATACATGAGTTCTACATGAAAAAATACACGTAAGACACCAAGTAGGACGAAAAATGACATGTAGGACATGTGTGTCTCTTTGTTCAACTTTACACAAGTTTAAGTGTCTACTTGTGCACACCCAAAGTTGAAGGACATAAATGTGATTCGAATCCAAGTTAAATGACATCTTTATGTATTATGTCATTTTTTTTATTTCTCCTTCGTCTTGAAAGTTGTAAAGTAGAAGTGCTTTTTGCTTTTAGATGACGTGAGAAAATAAAAAATGTTCTTTTATGTCATTATAATCCTCACATATTAGACATTCACCACAACAATAACAGATAAATACACATATTCATGAAGTGTCAAAGCTTTTATCGACATTTATCATTTGATCTAATGTTGCTAGATCTTAAGGAACATTTACAAAATGTGTAAAGTGTCGCTTAAAAGACATATTTAGTGGTGATTAAGCTATTACCGTTAATAAATTATTGCTAAATATTATTTTTGGTTATGTATTTGGCTACCAATGCTAATAACAATAAAATGTCGCCCTTGACCTTTTTCTTTTTATTTTCTTTACTCGCCGTACATCTCTCTTCTTAGTTCAATAGGTGGAGTACTTATTAGGATATTAACAGAGATGCTACCACTGACTCTTGGTTTATAATCTCATTTAAGTCTTAATACGATAAAACTATTAAAACTTAACTCGATCAATCTCATCAATACTCTGTTGATTCATCATATTCCCATTAGTTTATTATATGGATTCTGCTGAAGGACGTTCCAAAAGAATACTATATATATCCCAAATAGGGATAAAGAAATCATTTATTTTATTGATGCACGGAATGTGGTATATTGGAAATCTAGTGGATACATTTCTTGCAACAAATAAGTGATATCCATACAAATATACTCCAGGAGACATAGTGTCACAACAAAAACTTATTCACACTATGATTGACAGTTAATAATCTAGGTAAATGCAGTTCTCTTCAACTCGTAGTAACATTGTAGAAGATTGAAATAGGAGATAAATGCATATTAAAAGCATAAGATGCAACAAAAGTTTGAATAATACCTTTGAGATATGCTCTTAGTCCATCATTAACTGTCTCATCTAGTGACCTCTCAGGAAGTTCATAAAACATTGCATTACCTCTGGACCATTAATTTTCTCTTTCTGCCAGAATTTATGGATGTGCAAAAATCAGAACACCAAAAAGCAGAACTATGTGACGTGGGCATGGAATCCTCTGGTTTGTCGGTTCTAACCTTTTTCGGACAATTGATTTCAAAGCTAGTCTGAGGTTTACATGGATGACTTTCATCGGCTTCAGACAATCCAACCGTCTCAAATGAGGCCTACAATTTTCTTCAACACATTGATAGCAGAAAAGTTAACAACAAAACAATCAATATTGAAAGCTTACTCTGAATTTTCAGTCATCGATATCACTGCTAATTTCATAAAAGCACCAAACAATTTGGCAACTCAAATTGCTTCTAAGCATTCACGTGGAAGTTATGATATCATATCCCACGAGAAAATTAAATCACCTCAAAGCAGAAGGCTTTAACATATAAAGATTAATCAATTGTTTGGGGAAAATACTATATGAAAAAAAAAGATATGCCGAAAAAATGCCTATTTACCTAAGTCCACCATTCAACTTTATTAGCGCCTTGAATCATCTCCCAACTATTGGAACTAATAATAAGCATAGATCCACATATGTAACAAAACTTCTAGCTTTTTGTGAGACTTCACTTCCAAATGTCAATAGACCAGGACAATCTCTTAGGTACTATCAATTCAGTGTTCATCTGAATCAGAAGCTTTTTAAAAATGTAATAAAGAACTAAAAACGATGAGCAATCATACCGAACAAAAGAGATTTATCCAGCCACATTAAAGTATAATGATCCTAAAGAAATTTAAAAGTAATATAAGACGTACGACAATAACGCTCTTGAATAATTAATGTACTGATACATACACGTGTTCATTAGGTGTAAGTCCAGCTGTCCTATAGGCTTAATATTAGTTCCTCCACATTATGTTGGTTCTTCTTCCTCCTTCGCTCCTCTTTCACACCTTCATTGTTTTCTTCTTCCAACAATGGTTATTTCTAGGGCTGTTCAAAATCGAACTGAAATTGATAAATTGAACTGATAAAAAAGTTATTGATTTTTATTATTGGATTATTGGTTTATGGCTTTGATGACGATTTTGATTTTTTTTGTTATCGGGTTATCGATTCTTACGGTTTAAAGTTTTTTCTTAATGAATAACCGATAACACGATAGTAAATTAAATAGTATTATTTTCAGCTGCCTGACTAGTTAGTATAGTAGGAACGGGAAAGGGAAAAATCTATCTTTTAGTTTTGAGATTTAGACCTTATTAGAATAGTGAGGGATAATATATATACCATCTTCATCTCACAAATAGAAAATATTTATGCTTTTGTTAACAAACTCATATTTAGTGAAACCATTAATCAAAGGGAAGCATAAACTATAGGAATTGTTGGGTTTTATTTGCCCTGATTTTTTACCATAAATAGGTTTTACTTTTAGGAAAAGGTTTTGGATTGACTAATCTTTTTTTCTTGTAGGAAAAGGTTTAGGACTCTATAAATAGAGGTATGTTCCTTCTAACTTAATCAGTATTCACAATGTAGTCTTAAGGGCTTTGAGAGTTTTGGTTAGAGGGAGAATTTGTGGGTCACAAGCTTGATACGTTATAACTTGTGTGAACCTCCCATGTATTCTGAGTGAATTGGTTGAGGTTGTTTCCCTCTGTATTTTTTACTCTCATATTTATAGTGGATTGATCATCTCCTTTGTGAATGTAGGTCGATTGACCGAACCACGTTAAATCTTTGTGTCTTTTGGTATATTTCTCGTTGTCTTCTTACTCATTGTCTTTTGAGGTTTGCATTGCTAGCTTCCGCGTTTACACCTTCTTATATCCGGTCCTAAAATGTGGTATCAGAGCCAGATTCAATGATGGAGTCAGGTTCAGTGATTCGATAATCGATGATTGAACCAGGTTAGAAAGAGGTATTCATCTTGGCGGGTATAGTTCTAGCCATAACCTTTTTGACAGTAATGAAGATTTTGTTGGAGAAATTGTTTCAGAGAGATTCTCTGTGTTGAAACAAATTTTGCAAAGGAGATTATGGAGAGGAGAAGCAAGTTGTTGAAGATTAAGTAAAGAAGGTGGACAAATTTATTTTGTCAGAAATTCAGGTCAAGGGGGAGATTTGTTGGGGTTTTGCCTGATTTTTTTTTACCATAAATAGGTTTTCCTTTTAGGAAAGGGTTTTGGATTGACTAATCCTTTTTCTGGTAGGAAAAGGTTTAAGACTCTATAAATAGAGGCATGTTCCTTCTAACTTAATCAACATTCACAATGTAGTCTTAAAGGCTTTGAGAGTTTTGGTTAGAGGGAGAATTTGTGGGTCACAAGCTTGATACATTATCACTTGTGTGAACCTCCCATGTATTCCGAGTGAATTGGTTGAGGTTGTTTCTCTCTGTATTTTGTACTCTCATATTTATAGTGGATTGCTCATCTCCTTTGTGGACATAGGTCGATTGACCGAACCACGTTAAATCTTTGTGTCTTTTGGTATATTTCTCGTTGTCTTCTTACTCATGGTCTTTTGAGGTTTGCTTTGCTAGCTTCCGCGTTACACCTGCTTATTTACGGTCTTAACAAGTGGTATCAGAGCTAAGGAGATTCATCACGTCACTGAAGATGGATAGTTCAAAGCTTGGAATCGAGAAGTTTGATGGATCCGATTTCAGTTTCTGGAAGATGCAGATCGAAGATTATCTGTACTAGAAAGATCTTCACGAACTGTTGACTGGGGTGAAGCCGGAATCCATGACGTAGGAGAAGTGGAAACTCAAGGATCACCAGGCTCTAGGGTTGATCCGGTTGACTTTGTCAAAAATGTGGCGTTCAACATTGTAAAGGAGATTATGGAGAGGAGAAGCAAGTTGTTGAAGATTAAGTCAAGAAGGTGGACAAATTTATTTTGTCAGAAATTCAGGCCAAGGGGAGATTTGTTGGGTTTTATTTGCCCTAAATTTCTTACCATAAATAGGTTTTCCTTGTAGAAAAAGGTTTTGGATTGACAAATCCTTTTCTTGTAGGAAAAAGTTTAGGACCCTATAAATAGAGGCATGTTCCTTCTAACTTAATCAGCATTCACAATGTAGTCTTAAGGGTTTTGAGAGTTTTGGTTAGAAGGAGAATTTGTGGGTCACAAGCTTGATACATTATCACTTGTGTGAACCTCCCATGTATTCCGAGTGAATTGGTTGAGGTTGTTTCCATCTGTATTTTGTACTCTCATATTTATAGTGAATTGTCATCTCCTTTGTGGACGTAGGTCGATTGACCGAACCGCGTTAAATCTTTGTGTCTTTTGGTATATTTCTCGTTGTCTTCTTACTCGTGGTCTTTCGAGGTTTGCTTTGCTAGCTTCTGCATTTACACCTGCTTATTATCGGTTATAACAAGTTGTATCGGAGCTAGATTAAATGACGGAGTCAGGTTCAGTGGTTCGATAATCGATGATTGAACCAGGTTAGAAAGAGGTGTTGATCTTGACGGGTGTAATTCTAGCCGCAACCTTTTTGATAGTAACGAAGAGTTTGTTGGAGAAATTGTTTCAGAGAGGTTCTCTGTGTTGAGACATAAATTTTGCAAAGGAGATTTTGGAGAGGAGAAACAAGTTGTTGAAGATTAAGTAAAGAAGGTGGACAAATTTATTTTGTCAGAAATTCAGGCCAAGGGGGAGATTTGTTGGGTTTTATTTGCCCTGATTTCTTACCATAAATAGGTTTTCCTTTTTGGAAAAAGTTTTGGATTGACTAATCCTTTTTTCTTGTAGGAAAAGGTTTATGACACTATAAATAGAGGTATGTTCCTTCTAACTTAATCAGTATTCACAATGTAGTCTTAAGGGCTTTGAGAGTTTTGGTTAGAGGGAGAATTTGTGGGTCACAAGCTTGATACGTTATCACTTGTGTGAACCTCCCATATATTCTGAGTGAATTGGTTGAGGTTGTTTCCCTTTGTATTTTGTACTCTCATATTTATAGTGGATTGCTCATCTCCTTTGTGGACGTAGTTCGATTGACCGAATCACGTTAAATCTCTGTGTCTTTTGGTATATTTCTTGTTGTCTTCTTACTCGTTGTCTTTTGAGGTTTGCATTGCTAGCTTCCACGTTTACACCTGCTTATATTCGGTCCTATCAGGAATTTCTTCAGCAAATTGACTATGTTCAAGTAAATTAACAAAGCTAGTAGTGTAAGAAAAATCATAATGGCTACAAGTAAAATTGAGAAAGAAAATTTGTGAGTACCAATTTGGATGCCACACCGACAAAATTTCATCGTTATATGTCTCCTTCGTAGAATTGCTATCTTAAAATTGAAAAAAAAAACATAACTTTGTTTCCACCAAAATTCACAAACAAATTAATTTAACCAAAGTTTATGATGAGCATCTATCTAGTTGTAGTAAAGAGGTTCCCTTGTTTCTTAGATTGTACCGTTATGCTGTAAAAGATATCGATCATGTGCGACGTAGCCAACTTTCTAGTACAAATGAGCCTTATAAATTACATAGAAAGCCACCATTTTTTTTATCGTAATCTCTTTCAAAAAAAACAAAATACAACAAGCCATATGCTGTATATTACAAGAAAACTATGAATTACATGAGATTTTTTTGAGAATTAATATGAAAATTTATAGAAAAATAATTTTTTTACGAATTTTTATTGTAATCCCTAAAAAATTTTCCATGTAATTTACTGTTTCTCCTGTAGTGGCAATAACAAGCAAAACAGAAAAAAAAATTGTTTTGTTCTTTTGAGAGTTACCTGAAATGGTTTTTTTTTTACTTAAAAGAAGAAAGAAGCCCAAGATTAAGTAAGATAGCAGTCATAAACAAGATTTAATTGTAAAAGTCACAAACTCTAATAGAAATATAAGAAATCCAAGATTAAGCAAAGTTAGCAGTCATAAACACAAATTTACATAGCATTATATGTTGCACTTACCAAAAAGCAATATATATATATATATATATATATATATATATATATATATATATATATATATATATATATATAACAAAAGATTATTCAGTTTGCTGAGCCAAATGAGCAAACACCTTGGATAAGTAATTTTGCACTTTGTGAAATAACTTAATTATGCAGAAAAGAAAATAATTAAATTAAATAAGAAGAAATGTACATGCATATCATTATTTGATTCGAGATCATCTATTGAACACATAAATTCACTCTCACATAGAGATTTGAATTTTGATAAGATGAATTTTTGATTTTGCAACAACGGATATATATATATCAAT